GAATGAATGAATGAATGAATGAATGAATGAATGAATGAATGAATGAAAAATGCTCGTTCTGCTGGCAGGCCATGTCCCTGAACAAAAGAAACTAAACAACATTTCCCAGCTCCCCATGACCTAGGGCCACCCTAAAATGCTCCTAGCCATGGATCATGTGCAGGAAAATAAACCAAGTTCCGAGAAGAACATAAGTGTTCCACCCTGTGCTACGGTTCTCTCTGGAGTGCCTCTGCTGTGGCCATAAGCAGGGGTGGGATTCATCCAGTTCGGACCGGTTTGAGCGGACCGGATGTTAAATTTGCATCTGGTTTGCCGAACCAGTTGTTGAACCAACCGGCTGGCCCTGCCCCCCCTGCCCCCCCCCTCCTCTCCCAGGAGTTTTGAATGCAGGTGAGGCTCTGGGAGGGCGAAAAACAAGCAGAACCGGAAGTTCCGGAAGTCCGGGAAATGGGCCTGTTTCCGGCTTCTGGAGGCCCTCTGGACAGAGGTGAGGATTCAAATTTTTTTCACAACTGGTTCTCTGGGTGTGGCTTAGTTGGTGGGCGTGGCTTGGTAAGTCATGTGACTGGCTGGGTGTGGCCAACTCAACATCCCTCACATCGAGACACGCATCTCCTCGCCTGGCCTCTCGTGAGTGTGGGGATGCTGCGACAGTCGTAAGTGTGAAAAAGGGTCATAAGTCACTTTCTTCGGTGCCACTGTAACTCCACACAAGCAAAGGACCAGCAAAGGAAGGGGGAAAAAACTCCAGAGACGTTCCAGAGACAGGAAGTCTAGTCCTGCCAAGAATGTAATAAGGGTTAACGGAGAGGCAGTTTCTGTAAGCAACACCAGAATGTTTCCTTCCTGCCTTCCTTACAGGATTAGGCCAGTAAAAATTTCTTCTAACAACCGTTCTCCGAACTGCTTAGAATGTTAACAACCGCTTCTAGCGAATAGGTGCGAACCTGTAGAATCCCACCCCTGCCTCCGGAACCCGGACCATTTTTGCCCTCCTGGAGACCCAAGGGAAGCCTCCGGATTCTGGGGAAGGCGAAAAATACCTGAACCGGAAGTTCTGGTAGGCCACGCCCATCCAGCAACCGGGCAGAGAACTGGTTGCTGGGGTTTTTGAATCCAACCCCTGGCCATAAGGACTAGAAACCGGAGTCCTTCCGAGGCCCCGAGCATTAGCTAAGACCTATGGACACACAACCGCAGCACACAGAAAGCCGCAGCTCCGGGTCATGTAGCAGGGAATGGGACCACGGAGAAGGGGGGAATCGAGGGAGGCGGTCACATGCATCCATGCTTGAAAGGGGGAAGGGGAGAATAGGGGAAAGCCGAAATTTTGGGGGGGGGGGGGGAAAAGCACTCACAAAATATCCTGCTGGGGGTCCGGGATGGCTTTTCGGATCGGAAGGAAGAGGAAGCTGCTTGCAAAAAAAAGGGAAACAAACAAACATGGAATAGTAACAAAATAAAACAAAACAAAAACAACATGCTCGCTCCCTCGCAGCCGTTCTGACACAAAAGACCTGCGCAGGCGACAACTCGAAACACACGAGGTAGTCCTCGACTTACAGACATTCGTTTAGTGACCGTTCGGACTGAAAACGGCACCAAAACAAAAAACAAAAAACCCACGCTTAGAACCGCGTTTTACACTTGCAAATTTCAACTTCGTACAGGTCATGCCGGCATGTTGCTCCTAATAAATCTTTTGAAGTTTTTTTTTTGTTTTTTTTTTGAAGCTTGGCTCGAGGCGTATGATTTCATTCGGGGCGATCGCCGGAATCCTGACATATGACTTAGGGTCATGTGATCCAAATCAGGATGCTTGGCAACTGGCTCATATTTATGACGTTCCTGGGGGGGGGGTCTCCTTTTGCGACCTTCTGACGAGCGAAGTCAACGGGGGAAGCCGGGTTAAACTTAACCACCGCGTTACTCGCTTAACCACTGCAGCTTAATGACCGCGGCGAGAAAGGTCGTAAAATTGGGGTGGGGGTGGAGAAGTTGCTTGACGACTGTCTTGCTTAGCAACGGAGGCTTTGGGGGCTTGCGGTCGTAAGTCGAGGACTGCCTTGCCTAGGGGAAGAGAGGAATGCTGCTCCGTGGGGCGAGGCGGAAAAGCAGAAACGGCAATGGTGCCTTAGGAGGGGTGAGGGCGAACCTAAGGAATCCCTCCCATTCCCCCATAAACGGGAAGATCCCAGTAACCTGGGAAATTTTGCAAGGATTGGGCCTGCTGTCGTATGTCAAGGACTCCCTTTTACATTATTTTTTCCTGCCTTAAAAAACAGGCAAAATATTTCAGCGATAAAATGGACTGCTGAAAATGGGAAAAAAAGATAAATTCTGCTTGGGACGGGGTTGAGGTGGTCAGGTTCTCCGTCTCTCCCTCCCCCTTTCAATTAATTTGGGGATAACCTTGAGGGGCACCTGGAGATTATCTAGCCTGACGTCTTGCTCAAGACAAGGGACTTCAGGGACAGAAATTCCGTATGTCTTTATGCCGGGCAGATGGTTTTATTTTTTTTTAACGTTTATCCCACCTCTATTATGATTAGAAGTAATTCAAGGTAGCGAACATACCTAATGCTCCATGGCACAAACAATCTTGCAAGGTGGATTGGGCTGAGAGAGAGTGGCTGGCCCAAAGTCACCCAGTCAGCTCTCATGTCTAAGGCGGGACTAGAATTCACCATCTCCTAGTGATTGGCCAGCAATCGCCCAGCCGGCTTTTTTCCTTAAGGTGGGACTAGAACTCCCAGTCTCCTGGTGATTGGCCCAAAGTCACCCAGCCGCCTTTCCTGCCTAAGGCGGGACTAGAACACACCATATCCCGGTGATTGGCCCAAAGTCACCCAGCCAGCTTTCCTGCCTAAGGCGGGACTAGAACTCCCAGTCTCCTGGTGATTGGCCCAAAATCACCCAGCCGCCTTTCCTGCCTAAGGCAGGACTAGAACTCACCATCTCCCGGTGATTGGCCCAAAGTCACCCAGCCAGCTTTCCTGCCTAAGGCGGGACTAGAACTCCCAGTCTCCTGGTGATTGGCCCAAAATCACCCAGATGGCTTTCATGCCTAAGGCGGGACTAGAACTCCCAGTCTACAGGTGATTGGCCCAAAATCACCCAGATGGCTTTCCTGCCTAAGGCGGGACTAGAACTCACTATATCCTGGTGATTAGCCTCAAGTCACCCAGTCAGCTTTCCTGCTTAAGGCAGGACTAGAACTCACCTTCTCCTGGTTTCTAATCCTGTGCCTTCCCCACTGGACCAATCTAGCTCAAATGCTCCTGTGGTTAAAACTGAACCTCGACATCCACATGGATCTCTTGGAGGAGGAAGAGCAGTAAACCAACTTTGCTTTTCACAGCACAACCTCCAATTCACAGGTGCTCCCCCAGAAGTGCAGGGGAGCCCCCCAAACCCCAGGCTTTTAAGGACCAGACCAGTAGCGTCTATCATTCAAAACGGGTTCCCGCTAAGCTCGAAAGGCAATTCGCAAAATGGGATAAACACACCCGCGCGCTATTTTAAAATCCATTTTAGTCATTGCGGCGAGCTTTCGGTCAGTGTCCGGCCAGCCCTTACCGGAGACTTTGGGCGCTGGGTTGCAGGAAAATCCGCCGTTGGACTGATCCAAGGTCTCTCCGAATTCGTAGGATTCCCTGGGCTTCGGTTTATATTCTCGCTTGGGGCGTGAAGAAGCATCTCGCACCCTGGAAACCGGAGGGAAAAGAACCACAACAGACTGTCAGTCGGAATACCAGAATATTTTATCACATGGGATTCGTTTTACAAATGATTGGACAATAAAGGCCATAATTAAAAGCTGGAAGAATACCACTATATAAAAGTAAATATTTGTTGTGGTCTGCCAGCGGTCAGCGGAGCTGGCGGCAGACTCGGAGGGTGAGGAGGTTGGGGAGGGACATGGGCCAGTCCTGGAGTCTGGGGAAGGCTTGGACGAGGGCACCTTACACCTGTAAGTTGAGAAAGCCTAGCCCCACCCTGTCCCCAGTCCCCAGCTGACCTGCGTTTCAGCTTCTCGGCCAACTCGTCCAGAATCTGCACGGCTTGTTTGTGGTAGTCGAGTTGCGCATCCACCAGAGCAGAAAGCTGGCTGACTTGCTCGATCTGTAGCCAAGATAAAGGAGGATTCCAATCACGGTTTGTTGAACTAGCCACAATGATCTTTCCACCTTTGCTGCACCACTGTCGTGCCCCTGTTGGAATCTGATTCCGAGGGGGAGGTCGAGCAGCTGACAGGGAGTGGGAGTGTGGAAGAAACTGGGGAAGGGTACAGTCCGGCTGGGCATTCAAAGGAAGACCCAGGCCCACCTCCTCTTCATGCTAGGGCACGCAGGGAGAAACGCAGAAGGGAGCAACGTGGGTTGCGTGGTTTAGGGGGGAGGAAAAGGCCCTGATCCCCTTTCATTAGCTGCAGCTGGGAAGACTGTTTAAAAGGGCAAACTGCGCACCGCAAAGTTGCTGGAAGCAAAGCGTGAAATTATTCTGGTTTGTCAAGTCTTATCTGAATTCTGGCGTCCTCCCAACTGTGTGTGTTCTGTTATTTTTTGACGTCCGCAATTCCTTATCCTGCCCTGTCTCGTTAATTGCTGCGGCGTGGTTTGTGTTGTTTTTTTTTTTTTATAATTTATATGTACTTTGAGTTCAGGCAGAATATCTTCCCTTTAAAAATTGTTCTTGGGAGAGTATTTTTCTCCAGCCGATGATAACTGGACATTGGGGGGCCAAGTTGGAGGTATTAAAGGGGCTTTCCCTACTTTTGTGACTTTGTTGCTTTTGTGCCACGCCCCGGGTCATCACAACCCACCTTTAATCCTTTCCAAACGGGACTGGGGCATTTAGTGTTCACAGATACCAGAAGAAGGTCAATGTAAAGGTTCCCCTCGCACATGGCGTGCTAGTCGTTCCCGGCTCTAGGGGGCGGTGCTCCTCTCCATTACAAAACCGAAGAGCCAGCGCTGTCCGAAGACGTCTCCATGGTCATGTGGCCGGCATGACTAAACGCTGAAGGCGTGCAAAACGCTGTTCCCTTCCCACCAAAGGGGTCCCTGTTTTTCTACTTGCATTTTTTTTTTTAACGTGCTTTCGAACTGCTAGGTTGGGAGAAGCTGGGACAATTCACAGGAGCTCGCTCCGTTACGCGGTGCTAGAGATTCGAACTGTCAAACTGCTGGCCTTTCTGGTCGACAAGGGCAGCGTCTTAGCCACTGAGCCACTGTTGATACCAGAATTGGAGTATCTTAATTAAGAGCTTCCTCCCTCCTCCTCCCCCGTTTAGGCCTGACTTTAGCGTAGGAGTGTCCAATCGTGGCAACCTTAGATTCTGTGGACTTCAGCTCCCAGAATTCCCTAGCCTGGGAATTCTAAGGATAGAATGGAATGGAATGGAATACAATAGAATAGAATAGAAAATATGGAATGGAATGGAAGGTCTATTTTGTGCGTGCTGACGATTAATCCCCAGAAGACATGAAAATTTTGGCTGTAAATTTTGTTGGCTGAGCTAAATTTGCGTTTACAGGTAGTCTTTCGGCTTACGACCACAACTGAGCCCAAAATGTATTAAAATAAATTGGTTTTTTTATTTTTCTTACAAGTATCTATCTCATGTATTCGAAACGATATTTATTCTTATACCTGTATCTTGTAAGCGATTGACAAATCAAATAAACACTAAACACTAAAATCTCCATTGCTGAGTGAAGTGAAGTCGTGAACGTTGCCCCCATTTTATGACCTTTCTTGCCCCAGTGGTTAAGTGAATTGCTGCATTGGTTAAATTAGTAACATGGTGAAGTGAATCTGGCTTCCCCTTTGATTTTAGAATAGAACAACGGAGTTGGAAGGGACCTTGGAGGTCTTCTAGTCCAACCCTCTGCCTAGGCAGGAAACCCTACCTCACTTCAGACCAATGGTTATCCAATCTCTTTCCTAAAAACTTCCAGTGTTGGAGAATTCACAACTTCTGGTGGCAAGCTGTTCCATGGGTTAATTGTCCTCACTGTCAGGACTGTCATTGTCCTTAGTTCTAAGTGGCTTCTCTCCTTGATTAGTTTCCCACCCGTTGAGATATTGGAACAAGGCTGGCTAGAGGAACTCTGGGAGTTGAAGTCCACAAGTCTTAAAGTTGGCAAGTTTTGAGGAGGCCTGGTCTAGGATTTTGACACGGGACAACTTGCACTTCAAACTCTTTCCCTTCTCGGTCTCAAGGCGCGCAACTTACGTCGGTCTCGAGAAGATTGTGCATGCTCGTCTCAGCCACTTCCTTGGACTCCTCAAACTTTTCCAGAGCTTGTCGCAACTCTTCGTCGGGAATTTTCCCTTGGCGTTTCTTTTTGTAGTCGAAGTCCAAACGTCGCCCTTCTAGCTTTTTCAGGTGGTGCTTTTGGGGGGGGGAGGAAAGGAGGAGAAAAAGAGGAGTAAATGGTTAAAAAAACAAAACAAAAAAAAAACAGTAGAGATGGGATACGCTCAGCTTTTCCAAGTTAAAACTACTTTCGAATGGAAATTCTTCCCCCCAATTAAAACGCTGATTAAATTGGAGAATATTCTCCTGCAGTGAGCTGGATCGGTTTGTGCAACGAAACGACTCTGCAAATGAGGTCATTTTGTTCAAGTAATTACATCTGCATGATATTGTGTAAGTCATAAATTTACACAATGTTATACAAATACAGGTAGTCCACGACTTGCAGTCACAACTGAGTCATTTTTTTTTGTTGCTAAGCGAAATGAGGCCTTTGTTGAGTGAACTTTGCCTCATTTTACGCCCTTTCTTGCCCATGGTTATTAAGTGAATTGCCGCAGTTATTAAATTAGCGACACGGTTGTTAAGTGAATCAGGATTATTCCTTCGACTGTGCTTTTGTGACCGATGACCCTTTTTCACACTTACGACCATCACTGCAACCCCTCCTTCCTTCCTTCCTTCTTTTCTTCCTACCTTCCTTCCTTTCTTTCCTTCCCTCCTTTCTTTCTGTCGTTTCCTTCCTTCCTTCCTTCCTTCCTTCCTTCCTTCCTTCCTTCCTTCCTACCTACCTACCTACCTACCTTCCTTCCCTTCTTTCCTTACTTTCTTCCTACCTTCCTTCCTTCCCTCCTTTCCTTCCTTCCTTCCCTTCTTTCCTTCCCTCCTTTCCTTCCTTCCTTCCTTCTTTCAATCCCAGGACACTGCAACTGTCATAAATAGGAGACAGTTCCCAAATGTCTTAATTTTGATCATGTGACCCTGGGGATGCAGCGATGGCTGTAAGTGTGAAAAAGGGTCATAAGACACTTTTTAAAAAAAGCCATAGTAACTTCAAACCAAATGAAATAATGTAAGTCAAGGACCCCCTGTACTGCAAATGCTCTCCATTGAATAATGGTGTCATGCAATAAACGCCTGTCAAAAGACGACGAACAGCTGACAGAGAGCAGGGGGCGTGGCTCCGTTGGCTGTGGAGGAAACTGGGGAAGGGCAAAGTCAGGCAATGTAATATAAAATTAAATCAGAATAGATTTTAATGCTTCTGACTAATCAATTCGGGATATAGATAGAACGACATAAACCAATAGGACGACCTAAACCAGAGCCAGTTTGTAAGGCCTTCCTGTAAATCAACCACGTCCCTTTTAAGACGGGTGGACTTCAACTCCCAGAATACCCCTGCCACCAATCCTGGCTGGGGTATTCTGGGAGCTGAAGTCCACCCATCTTAAAAGGGCTACGGTTGTGCCATCACGGTGGGACCCCACAAGATCTCTTATTCCCTTCAAGGACAAGGATAAAAAAAAAAAAAAACCTCAGGAGATTACCTGGATCTCTTTCAAGTCCTTGTCGCACAAATTCTGAAGGGGATCGATGAAGTTCTGCTTGACCTCGATGTCCAGAGAATCCTTCACTTCGGCCAGGCGCTTCATAGATTCGCCGGCGTCCAGCAGGGCGTCGCCTTTATCCGACGGGAGAAAAGAGCAGATCCGTTGGGAATTGGGAGGAGAAGGGAACAGGATCGACTGATCCTTATGAGCAACATTCACGCCTTAAGAGATTTCTGACCCGGCCTACGAACTATGAGGAGCACTGGAGACAAGCAGATAATCAGGGAAGGATTAATCTGGGATCCCTCTGGTCAGAAGGATCAGGAAGGATCTACGAGAAGATCTAAAGAAGAGATACACTGTTGGAAACACTGGATTAGATGATCTGAAAAATACTTTGCAACCTTTACATTCTAAGATTCTTTAAAAAAAAAGTCACACGTTATTTTGCCTAGACAGGAAATCAGGCCTTGAACAAGTTTGCTAGACCTAGATAAATATAATTATATATATATATCAAAAAGCAAAAAAGCCCTCATGCATCATCACATAATCTCCAGAACCATAAAGCTTACAAACTTGAAACTTGGCACATACGTTCTTCTTGGCTTCTAGGTGCTCACTAAGAAAGGATTTGTCAAAAAGACCATCAGAGCATTAGTATTTCCTATATTATTATTATTAACACACTCTGATGCTAAAGAGATCTACTCCCCCCTCCCCACCTGAAAAGAAATCTCTTCCAAAGGCAAAACACAAGCAGAGGAGAAGAGTTTCAGTTTCATAGCACCAAGCAGCTTTAGTACAGAACAATTGAGCTAAGCCACGCCCAGGCTCCTTGCTGTCTCTTTCTTGCTCACACAGCAAATACTGCTTCAGTTTCCAAACAGCCCTCAACTCTCTCACACACTGACAGGACGCTAGCCAGATGAATACAGATGGATGTTGGTGGGCAGAGGCAGAATTTTATTTTCCTCCCCCAAAACTAAGCCCGACCACATAGTTATCCAGCGAGTTCTGCATAAGGAGAAGTCAAGAGAAGAAGAATGGGCCTATATATAATAATCTCTCTTCTCCACAACGGATGATTCTAGTTTTTCTTTTCTCCCATTTTCCTCGGCTGATATTTATAAATGAATTAAAAAATCGTGATTTAAAACAGACCCAGACAATCGGAGTTCCACAAAAGCCCTTTGGCTGCGACTCTGGAAGCCCTCCAAAGTGGCCATGAAATTGTAAAGTGTTGAACCACTTAAGGAATCACCCTACTAACCGCAGTTCAAATTACAATTTAATGCATATCTCATTCATTATTTTAAATGCAACCCAATGCCATTTTTGTTCATCCCCAGCCCCTTATCCTGGGCCTATTTTGGGGGGGCCGGGGGGGGGGAATATTGTCCTTAGCACATCGTTCCAAAATTCGATATGCTTCTGAAAGTCCCACCACATCTGGACAACATCAGCTGACCTGGCACCAACAAGCCCTGTGGAAGCCAGCAACACAGGCTGGAATGTCTCACTATTTTGCAGAAGGTATCCAAGTGTTACAGGCCAGGATTCACAGTGTGTCTCTTCGACTGAAACCAGCTTTAAGTACGCTTGGAAGGCGTTTCTCAAAGCAAGCAAGGAAGGAAGGAGGGAAAACAGAGAAAGGAAGAAAGGAAAAGAGAGAAACAAAGGAAGAGGGAGGGAAAATAGTGAAAGAAAGGAAGGAGGGAGGGAGGGAAAATAGTGAAAGAAAGGAAGTAGGGAGAGAGGGAAAATAGAGAAAGGAAGGGAAGGAGAGGAGGAAAATAGAAAAAAGGGAGAGAGGGAAGAAGGAAGGAGAGAAAGAAGTGAGTAAGGGAGCAAGGAAGAAAGGGAAGGAGGAAGAGAGTGAAAGAGGTAGAGGTGATAGCCCTTTGAGCACTGTATGAAATGACATTTCACTTTAATATACAGTATGATGATTAGTGTACATCCAAAGTGACAATAAAGTTATTCTATCTTTAACCACTGAGCCATTGCACCTCCTATATAAATATATTTTATCTCTCTCTCTCCCTCCCTCTCTCTCTCTCTTATCTATCTATCTATCTATCTATCTATCTATCTATCTATCTATCTAT